TTTAGAAAATATTGGTTGACAAAAATATTAGTTAAAAAAGTTGTAGAAAAAAAAGTTGATTGTAATTAACAAGTACTTTGCATAATCAGCAAAGGTGGTTTACTATTATTGATATGGTTGATTGTACCATTGTAAGAATTGATTTGAGATTGATTTGTATGATTTCCATTCTTGATCATATTTGTATTATTAGTGTTAACATATTCTGTTCGAGATTTTTTTCTCTTCTCCAGAGATCCATTTAATCGGGAAGAGCTTAACGATCTATGATTAGAGAGATGAGAGGATCTCTCAGGCACTGGGGTGGTTGTGATGTGGCGATAATGGAGATTTTGATTGTTAATTGTTCCATTGGATCGTCGTTTCTTTCTTCCAATGTTCCATCAAGTTTCGTAAAACTGCTACTTTTGAATGAATTGAGCATTTAGTGAACATTTAAGATGTTCTTCGCTTTTGAAAGTTGATCTTCGACGTTCCAATGTACTTGGTACATGATGCTCATTTTGATTTTCGTACAAATATTTACGTTGTAAACTGTTATGAGACGAAGCAGTTGCGATCAGTTTCACTCCGGCATCGGTTTCGAAACATTTTTTTCTACTTTTTCTTGACCAACTGCCAGTTCGACCACCGACCCCTAAGGTGATTCTTCACAAAAGAGTCAATCATATAAGTGCGAGTTTGATAATTGTTTCTTTTCTCGTTGATTTCTTGATTATAATCAATTGGAAAATGATCAATGCTCACTGAAGCTGTAACATTATTGCTACTTGATTTATCGCAATGAGAACCGATAATATCGTTTTCCCTTTTATATTCATCAAATGATTGATTCGTCCGGTGATGATGGTGATGATGATGATTATGAATAAGTAGAGATGAATTATTTAGATCACCATTAGTAAGCTGAGGAGTTGGTATTGATCCATTGTCTTTTTTGCGTTGAGGACTTTGTTTATATCGACCTGCACATTGGACAATACAGCAAACAATGAATACCGATAAAGCAAACGCACCAATACAACCAACAATTAGTAAAAATAAATGATAATTATTTTCAATGAGAGTCGAGATTTTGTCCAACTTTGATAACGGTAATTATTTCAGTGGTTGTCGACACTGGATCGTCAAAGGTTGAGCCAGTTAATATTTTTGAATATTCAGAGACACCGGCAGAGTTGAAAACTTGCAATTTAAACTCATAAGATGTTGCCGGTGATAATTGTGATACAATATGATTGAATTTAGTTGATTTGGTTGGTAAAGTGATCTGGAAATAATCACCCGCGGATGAGGTTGCACGATAATGGATAATAAATCCTTCAATAGAAGTCGAACTTTCTTTGTAATTGTCCCAAATGACTTGAATTTGTGTAGAGCTTTGTGGTACAACTGCAATTATGTTCGGTGCGTCTTTGGGTTTCTTCAACATGCTAGTTCGAATCAGATGAAATTTATCGGAAACGGGACTTTCTCTATAATCTGAATTGTTAAAAACTGCCATAACTCTGAATCGATATTTCGAGTCAGGTACAAGACCAGAAACAGTTTGTGTTGTTATCCAAGGTGCGATATCTTCAGACAGAGTGTTCCATGTACTTTTGGGACCCGATTCTTTGTACTGAAGTTTGAAAAATGAAACAGGTAAACTCGTTTTGTTGGAAAGTTCCAATAAACCATAACCGAATAATCTGATAACCTGTTGACTTTAGGTTTACTTGGCGGTATCATTGGTTTACCATGACGTTTCCTTCCTCTTCCTCTCTCTCTTTCTTTACTATTGTTTTCTCCACCTCCATTGGGTTTAAATATATCATCTAGAATAGAGATTGTACTCGGATTCTTTTGATTAATTGATTTATCGGCTTCTGAAATTCTTGAATTATCCAAAGATTCAGCTCGTGAAAGAAACTTTAACATGAGAAAGAGAATAAGTTGATTTGTAATCATTGTTCAGTTCGTTTGAAGCGAAACACTGAAAGATTCCCGAATGGATTGATGAACGGGCATTGGTCACTATTAATTCGGTATGTTGCTCGTTAATTGTTACTCCAGGTATATGTTCAATTGATAATGAAGGTGATAATTGTGATTGTGGTTTGGTTAAAAGTTTACCATTAAAAAACCAATCAATTTCTGGTTTGGGATTACCTGTTGATTGACATTCGTCATTCATTGAATTAGTTAATGAAAATTTTGATAAACCCATTTCTCTTCGATTTCCAAAACTATTAATAATAATTAAAGTCATTGATAGTATTATAATATATGATATACAGCCACGGACATTAAGTTTCGTACATCAATTAAAGTTGCATAGAGTTGGTTATCTAATCAATTTTATTTATCAATTTCATTTAATCAAAATCTTGTTGGAAAACCATCTTGCTCTATTACAATTTTACGGCCACAATGATCAGATTGATTAACATAACTTTCGTTATAACGACAGTTTCTAGGCCTTTTGACTAGTTTTATTCCATCTTTCTCACTACTGAAACAACATTCGTCAACGAAGATACACTTCGTCCAATCGAACGATTCGTGAACCATTGCGAACTCAACTCTTCGTTGACGATGTTGAGTCTTAAGCTTAGGCTTTGTAGCCGCATGGTGAGTCTTATAGCCTTCTGATCTCAAAAACCTATTGACCGTTCGGGGCGTTACAATTGAATCTAATTCGTTGTTAATTTTAGTAGAGGGTTTAAACGGATCTTCGATCGTTTTCAAAAGAATCGACTCTTTTAGATGGCCATTCAATATGAAAGGCCTCTTACAGTTAGAGTAAAATGTGTTCAAATGTCCACGTTGATTGTATCTCATCCTCCATCCTTGAACCGTTGATGCTGGTAAGTCCAGTTCACTAGCTATCTCTGACACTGAAACCTTGTGATGTTAAATCGATGATTTTAAACGCAGATCATTTTCTAGAGCCCTGGGCATCAAGATTTAATTTAAACTAAATTAACTAAAACAAAACAAATCAAAATGTAAATAAACCTAATAATCAACAATAGATTATGAAATTTTATCAATTTTGATTAGATAACCAACTCTATGCGCAACTTTAATTGAAAGTGTACGAAACTTAATGTCCGTGGCTGTATATAATTCACCGTATCCGGTTGCGACTATCGTCTCTCAAAACTCTTAAAATATAAATGCATTTCTAGTTTGCTGTAAAAAAATTTATTAATAATCGCTTAATGAGAAAATTTTTCATTCACAATGGTGAATATTTCGATAAAAATAGTTAAATTTGCAATATTGAGATTCTCCTAGAAAATATTGATTCGCAATGATCCAATCGTGGTCATTATGACTACTTTTACACTTTGGTACTATGTTAACCCCATTTTGCCCGGTTTTATTAGTAACAACCTGATGAGAAAAATGCTTCAAGAACTAGAAAATGTTCATTCTAAACAGATCAATTAAAACACATTCTGCAGTTAAATTTTTTAGAAAACAGTGAATCGGACAATATTTTTGGAACTTTCGTTAGGTAGGTGGATTGGATCAGTATCTTCCATGAGATCTGACCACTGTTGAGCAGAAAATACATTAGTCACTGGATGATTTACATTGATAGCATAATTGGCAGTCATCAATCAGTTGACATGAATATTTAATATTTTGAATGAAAATTTAGTCGTATTTAATTTAAAATTAAACAATTGAAATTATAACTAAGCATGTAATTAGATTTTATTTATCTGAAATCATAAATTTCATTGGTCATACATGGATTCATCTTTTACAAAACCGTTTTGAACAACCAATTTTTCATAGAAAAAATCCAATATCTTGGTAATGAACGTGAAAGGGAAATAAAACAAAAAAACCGTTTGTTTTTATCTCTAATAAAGTTAATTAAATGTTTTTGTTTCAATAAAAAGAAGTTAATAAATAAAGAGTAAAGAAATTATCGGAAAATAATTTACCCAGTAAATGAGAAATTAACAAGCAATTCAGATTGAGAGAAAAAGAGAGAAAAAATTGGTACAAAAACAAAGTTAGCAAAACGAAAACTTATCATCATGATTGAATGAGGATAGAATCTTAAAACTAATTTATAGAAAATTTTCGAATTGAAACTATTTAAGATTTCTATTCTCTCGAAATATCTCTTAATATTGAAAAAATTCGAAATATTGGAAAAAACTGTTAGCTTTTTTTCTAGATAGATACCATTCTATTTAGTTTTCCGTCTTAAATGATCATAACCTATGATGTATCTACATAATTACACAATTATTTAATTACTTTACTATACAAATCACTATCTGCATAAATGTGTATCACAAAATGAAGATAAACATTCCAATGGATTGCAAAGAAACTTGCTAAAATATAAAATTTACGGAATCTAACTAACTGTGACGCGAAATAATATTCAACAAAGCTTGTAAAACTAAAACAGTTTAACTGAAATTAATTGGTCAGAACAAGAAATGAAAAGCCTAATAGAAATAAAATTTTTATAACCGATTGTAAAATTTTTTTGAATTAAACAAAAAAAAAGAAGTTAAGTAATCTCATGATTTGGTTATCGTCTAAATGATAACCATTTAATCTCAAATTTAATTTATTTAACGATTCAAACTGGGCTCGAACCGTCAAACTCAAATATTGTTTATACAACAATGATTTTAACGATGAGCCAGTCTTAACTTTAGACTAGTGTTAAAGCTTTCTCATGAACACTTTCCTATTATTTACCGTTTGAAATTTATTTTCGGTAATGATCTTATTCATTGAGCGACGAATTCTAATGTTATATTTGTTCCCATGACCGCTTTTGTTAAATTTGCTGGAAAAACAGTGAACAGGACAATGTTTTTGGCACTTTCACTTTCCAGAGTCCGATGGACGAGAATCGCTAATTTGTATTAATAGATTACTAGGATTTGTTAACAAATGTTGATCTAATAAAAGAGCGAGCAAAATGATAAAAGGCTTAATATTGGCTGTTGATGTAAAATTAAAATCGATTTCTGGTTTAGTAAAAAAACAATTTATTAATAATTGCTTTATGAGAAAATTTTATTTACAATGGCGAAGATTTCAATAAAACTATTTACATTTAAAATATTGAGATTCTTTTAGAAAATATTGGTTGACAAAAATATTAGTTAAAAAAGTTGTAGAAAAAAAAGTTGATTGTAATTAACAAGTACTTTGCATAATCAGCAAAGGTGGTTTACTATTATTGATATGGTTGATTGTACCATTGTAAGAATTGATTTGAGATTGATTTGTATGATTTCCATTCTTGATCATATTTGTATTATTAGTGTTAACATATTCTGTTCGAGATTTTTTTCTCTTCTCCAGAGATCCATTTAATCGGGAAGAGCTTAACGATCTATGATTAGAGAGATGAGAGGATCTCTCAGGCACTGGGGGTGGTTGTGATTGTGGCGATAATGGAGATTTTTGATTGTTAATTGTTCCATTGGATCGTCGTTTCTTTCTTTCCAATGTTCCATCAAGTTTCGTAAAACTGCTACTTTTTGAATGAATTCGAGCATTTAGTGAACATTTAAGATGTTCTTCGCTTTTGAAAGTTGATCTTCGACGTTCCAATGTACTTGGTACATGATGCTCATTTTGATTTTCGTACAAATATTTACGTTGTAAACTGTTATGAGACGAAGCAGTTGCGATCAGTTTCACTCCGGCATCGGTTTCGAAACATTTTTTTCTACTTTTTCTTGACCAACTGCCAGTTCGACCACCGACCCCATAAGGTGATTCTTCACAAAAAGAGTCAATCATATAAGTGCGAGTTTGATAATTGTTTCTTTTCTCGTTGATTTCTTGATTATAATCAATTGGAAAATGATCAATGCTCACTGAAGCTGTAACATTATTGCTACTTGATTTATCGCAATGAGAACCGATAATATCGTTTTCCCTTTTATATTCATCAAATGATTGATTCGTCCGGTGATGATGGTGATGATGATGATTATGAATAAGTAGAGATGAATTATTTAGATCACCATTAGTAAGCTGAGGAGTTGGTATTGATCCATTGTCTTTTTTGCGTTGAGGACTTTGTTTATATCGACCTGCACATTGGACAATACAGCAAACAATGAATACCGATAAAGCAAACGCACCAATACCCCCAACAATTAGTAAAAATAAATGATAATTATTTTCAATGTGAGAGTCGAGATTTTGTCCAACTTTGATAACGGTAATTATTTCAGTGGTTGTTGACACTGGATCGTCAAAGGTTGAGCCAGTTAATATTTTTGAATATTCAGAGACACCGGCAGAGTTGAAAACTTGCAATTTAAACTCATAAGATGTTGCCGGTGATAATTGTGATACAATATGATTGAATTTAGTTGATTTGGTTGGTAAAGTGATCTGGAAATAATCACCAGCGGATGAGGTTGCACGATAATGGATAATAAATCCTTCAATAGAAGTCGAACTTTCTTTGTAATTGTCCCAAATAACTTGAATTTGTGTAGAGCTTTGTGGTACAACTGCAATTATGTTCGGTGCGTCTTTGGGTTTCTTCAACATGCTAGTTCGAATGAGATGAAATTTATCGGAAACGGGACTTTCTCTATAATCTGAATTGTTAAAAACTGCCATAACTCTGAATCGATATTTCGAGTCAGGTACAAGACCAGAAACAGTTTGTGTTGTTATCCAAGGTGCAATATCTTCCGACAGAGTGTTCCATGTACTTTTGGGACCCGATTCTTTGTACTGAAGTTTGAAAAATGAAACAGGTAAACTCGTTTTGTTGGAAAGTTCCCAATAAACCATAACCGAATAATCTGATAACCTGTTGACTTTAGGTTTACTTGGTGGTATCATTGGTTTACCATGACGTTTCCTTCCTCTTCCTCTCTCTCTTTCTTTACTATTGTTTTCTCCACCTCCATTGGGTTTAAATATATCATCTAGAATAGAGATTGTACTCGGATTCTTTTGATTAATTGATTTATCGGCTTCTGAAATTCTTGAATTATCCAAAGATTCAACTCGTGAAAGTAAAACTTTAACATGAGAAAGAGAATAAGTTGATTTGTAATCATTGTTCAGTTCGTTTGAAGCAAAACACTGAAAGATTCCCGAATGGATTGATGAACGGGCATTGGTCACTATTAATTCAGTATGTTGCTCGTTAATTGTTACTCCAGGTATATGTTCAATTGATAATGAAGGTGATAATTGTGATTGTGGTTTGGTTAAAAGTTTACCATTAAAAAACCAATCAATTTCTGGTTTGGGATTACCTGTTGATTGACATTCAAGAGTAAAGTTTTTCCCTTCGTCTACTTTAACATTTTGTAAACTTTTCACGAATCGAGGTGTACTTTGAACATCAACAATGGCACTTGTCTCGATTGAAATATCATCCATTGATGCTCTACAAATGTAAATTCCCGAGTCACTTTCGTCGATTGAAGTTAAAACTAGATTACCAGCTATCTTTCGATACTTTTTCGAATCACTGATAACTTTTTCTCCGCCGCCATCTCTTTTTTTCAACCAATTTATTTTCGGTAATGATCTTATTCCTTGAGCGACACATTCTAATGTTACATTTGTTCCCATAACAGCTTTTGTTAAATTTGCTGGAAAAACAGTGAACTGGACAATGTTTTTGGCACTTTCGTTAGGTAGGTGGATTGAATCAGTATCTTCCATGAGATCAGACCATTGTTGAGCAGAAAATACATTAAGTTTTATTGTCCAAGAAGCATTTCGTCTCTCTTGAAGGAAAGCGTTACATCGGTAGATTCCAGAGTCCGATGGACGAGAGTCGATAATTTGTAGATTACCAGAACTTGTTAACAAATAATGATCTATTTAAAGAGACAAGTAAGATGATAAAAGATGTAATTAACTATTGGCTGTTTATATAAAATGTAAAATGTAAATTTGTATTACCATCGGATCTTTTAATCAAAGTCTGATTGAAATAATATTCCATTATGGCAGTTGGAATACTTTTAGGCTTTTTACATGGTATCACAGCCGTGTTTCCTTGTATAATGTTGATTTCCTGGTCAGATTGGGCGTCAAAATCATTTAAAAAGGTGATTATCACCTTAGCAGGTTCACTGATTATTGTTTCTCCATTAAAAGTTGATTTACATTGGAAAAATCTTGATTTAAACAGCTTTTGTGATAATGATTGAAAGGGAAGATTTTCACTATTTCTGGGAACTTCTCTTGACAAAGAAATGATCAGTTCATTTTTGTCAATTTTAAATCTTTGATTAACTTCAGTCTCCATGGAATTAGTTATTGGTAAACCATCAACTAACCAGTCAATTGTGGCCAATGGTGAGGTGATACATTTTAAAATTGCTTCATTGTCCATATAAGAAATCATTTCCGACTGCACCTCAACTGTGAGACCTCGTTGAGAATTGGTGTTTCTTAGGCGACGAGAAACAGTTAAGGGTAACAGGAAATGAGTAACAATCAACCATAACCACAATTGAAGATCCATTTCTTTAATTACCGAATCAACTGTAATTCACACAAAAAGAGAAAATGTAAGAATATAAATATAAATATAAATAAGAATGAGAATCAAAAATTAAGAGACAAAAAAAGAGACAAATGATGAGGATAAAACAGAAAAGTAAAGAAAGAGTCAATAAGAAAATGAAAACTTAAACAGAGAGAAAAGAGAAAAAAGAAAGCAAGTGAAAGAATGTAAAAGTTAACACAATGAACTCTTATAGAGAAAGAGAAACAATTACAAAGAGACAAAGTTTAAAAGAAAATGTGACGAATTTGACAAACTCACCTAGTCAGTATTCCAAGACAATTAGATGCGAAAGTTGATTGGGTTAATTTAGAAAAGAAATTAAAAAGGAGAAAGTGACAATCAATTAATCATTTGAAAGTCTTAATGAGTAACTTGTTGTTAACCAGATTCTCTCTCTGGTCGTTTCTTATTTTCAAAACTTCATCTGTGGTCCCGAAGGAAACTCAAGAGCGGGTCAATTGAATTCGCCGAGTGACTGACCTTTAATATCTTGACTATTGTTTAACTAATACAATTATTGTAATTGCGGTAATTTTGCTGAATCAATTTTACCTGATCTTTTTTTTTTCGTCATATCTTCAATTATTTTATTCACTACAAAAGATTTTATCATATTCTTTATGTTTGTTTACTAAATTGTCAACTTATTTTGTCACTTCTTCATATTCGTAAGTGTTTTTTCCTCATTTTCATGATTGAATGGACAATTTTCACTTCGAAAAGGTATTAACTCGTGTTTACATTAAATGCGATTCTTTTCGCTTCCAATTGATCGATGAAAAGCTTAAAGGTTAAAACCCACTTTACCTTAGAGCGAAAAAGTTCTTATTAACCTCCTACAACCCACTTTTCGATTCTCTCACCTCACTCTCTCTCTCTTTTCGAACTTTTTTATATTCGACTAAAGTGAAAGTATTAACTTTAATTCATTCGTTCATCGTTCTTTCAATCGATTATTTCAATTTTTGTAGGTGAATTTAGAGAAAAAGTGAGAGAGAAAAAAAGATCAAACAATGGCTCATATGATTCTCACTCTGACAGTTACTTTAATCTTCTTTCTATTACAAACTGGTAAGAATTAAATTCAAATTCGCTTTCTCTCAATTAGTGATTTACGATTTAATTGATTTGGATTTTGTGCTTTTGTGATGACCATTAGATTTATCGGTGTCCAGAAACCCAAAGGATCTAATAAGAGATGTGTCCTCAAAGAGATGGACACACAGAGATTGTCTTTGTTTTCGGCCGTCGAGATGTTTATTTACCCAAAAATCCAACAGAAATGGTTCCTCATTGCAAGTAAGTTAATCTAATCTAATTCTCTTTAATTGTCATTAATTAGCTCTCCCGAAATTCCCAATTGATTAAACATAAAAGTGCCAAAATCTTATTCTTATATACCATTGGATCTCAATCAGATTCTGTTTATCACTGAATCGTAGTAAATTTTACTCGTAAATTTGATAATAATCATTTCTCTTAATTGTTGATTTAAAACTGATTTTTTCTTTTACTAATTATCCTAATTAAGGGAAGAGTTCGATGCTGAAGATTTCGTCAAATCATATTCTCGTCGATGCTTAAAACCTTTACCTCGTCAAATTATCGGTGTTATATTAATGGGTAATTATCTTAATTGTTACGATTACATTATTGTTTATCTGTTGGTTAACTAATCAACTAATTGTTTTGCTAATTACTCTTTACAGGAGCATCACAGGTAATTAAACAAAGATGTACACCAGAGGGGACTAAAGGTAAACATAGATCACATTAAATGATTAAACAATTAAGTAGCATTCAGATCGTAATCATTGATTAGCTTTATCATTAGTTAATTGTTTAAACCGAGATAAAAATTAATTGTTATCATTTAACTGTCAAGGTTATGATTGAAAAGTTAAGTCTACTGGTTAATAACAATAATAATAATCTAACAGGTTAATCAGTGATCCATAATAATTGATTTAAGTTGATAACATTTCCCGGTTAAACAGATAAAATTGATTAACTATCGTAACAATTAGTTGGTGGTGATTTTTAACAATTTAACCATCAAAGTTCAAATTGACTGAAACAATTTGATCGATCGTTATGAATCAAAGTGAAAGTAACAATTTACGTTTAGGTTAAGAAAAAGGAAAATCAATTAACCAAATCAATTTCGTCAATAACAAATCTCAATGAACAATTTAATGTATTGATAATTACCAGCAATCAACAACTTGATACAAAATGATACTTACGAACATGCAACCATTACATTTAATTGTAGACAATTCTAATTGTTGGGTAACCATTTTATTCAACAATTTGACGTAACTTTTTTTTTCATCCTTTTCCAGAATATCTGAGTCACTATGATTGTATTTACAATACGATTCCTCATCTCCACGATTGTATGGACCAACTAGTGGTCAGTTTACATGAGATCACGAAGAAACCGGTGGAAGAGCGGATTCCACAGGCTTGTTGCTCTTTCAGTCGATATATTTCATGTTCGGTGAAACCAGTTCGAAAAATGTGTCCCAAAGATCCAACAGCGGAAGATTATGTGGCCGTTAAGATGATTAAAGGTAAACAATCGTGAATCAAATTTGATGGAAAATCAATAATTTGTTTCAATTGAGACTAATTTTGTTCACCTCTTAAATCAATCAACAGGTTATGCTAGTGAGGTTTTGGACATGGTCTGCCAGGGATATGATCTTGGCGGTGAGAAATGTAATAAGATCACATTGCCCGATGGCGGTTTTAAAGATGAATCAGGTCAACTTTTGGTTGCAGTTCGAAATGTTACCGATCGTCCTCATTCAATAATACCACCCTTTATGGACATTTTCACCACAAATTAGGTCATTTTAAGGGAGGACGGAAAAGTTTGCATGAGTTTTATCATTTGGAAGAGGAAGAAGAGGAAGAGAGAGTGAAAAGAAGAGTCGAAATCGAAAGTGAAATTAAATATTATTATTACATTCAAATGGTCACTCAAAAAGTCAACAACAATTAATGAACACAATCAATTTTAATTGTATTACCTTAGCTTAGTTTTTTGTTCATTTGTTTAATTTTCTAATGCAAGGTTGTTCCCAAACCACCGTTAATCAAGTGAATTGAATTGCAATCCAATTGTTTATTTTTTCTCAATACAAACTCTTCATTCATTAAATCACCATCATCATCATGCAAAAATTTACGATTCATTGAGTATCTTTTTTTGTAAGTGTTTTTTTTTTCAACAGTTTTGTCAATATTTTTGCACTTTTCAAAATTTCAAAGTTCACTCACTGATTATATTATCAAATATAATAAAATTTTTCTTCTCTTTTTCGATAAATATAAATAATTGTTGATTAATTTGCTTCCTTGAACAGAGTTGACACTTTATCGCGACTTTTATTTGGAAAAAAAATAAAACTTTTTTTTTATCTTTTCCATCGTCAGGTCAAGATGTGTTTGAGATGGTTCACTAATTCTAATCGCGATTAACTAATCATGATAATAAACCTGCTGGTTAGTTGATCGTCAACAAGAGTGAGAGTGATTTAAGAGATTTATTGAGAATTACTTTTAATTACTGTGTCAGAAAATTTTTCTATCACCTAATATAATTGAATAGAGAGAAAGTGAGAGAAAGTTAATGGTTGAAATAAATTGACACCAATTTACAGAATTAAAGGTCAACAACTTAAGGTCAATGGGGATAAATTTGATTTTCATCTTAAAAATTGTGAAAATCTAAAGAACAATTAAGTTAATCGATTTTACCATTAATCGTATCAACCAGTTAATCTCATTAGAATTGGTCATGTGCCTCATCAGCTGATTGTTCATTTTGAAAAGGAAAATATTTCAGAATCAATCATTTGTTTATTTGTTTTCGTTTTATTTTCTTGCTAAAAGGTAATTGATTTTGTACTTCGAACCGTTTTTTAATCATGTCCAGTGATCATCCATCTGATTGTGTTGGAATTGATAGCGATCAGGCCGGTAAAGCTCCAGGATGTGCTGGTTGTCCCAATGCTGAGATTTGTTCATCGACTAAACCTCAAGTTGATGAATCGGCTCAATTGCTTCAAATCGAGAGGAGATTAAGATCAATCAATCATATTATCTTGATTATCTCGGGTAAAGGTGGTGTTGGTAAAAGTACATTCTCATCAATTTTATCGCGTTTTCTGGCCTCCAATGAAACGATTAACGTTGGATTATTGGATATTGACATTTGTGGTCCATCGATACCTCGAGCTATGGGTTTAGAGGGTGAACAGGTTCACATGTCGGCCGATGGTTGGTCACCTATTTTCGTCCAAGATAATTTGGCCGTTATGTCTTCCGGGTTTCTTCTTGGTTCTCTTGAAGATGCTGTCATTTGGCGAGGACCCAAAAAGAATGGACTAATCAAACAGTTTCTCTCTGATGTCGATTGGCCTCCTCTTGATTATCTTATTATCGACACTCCACCGGGAACTTCGGACGAGCATCTTTCAATTGTTTCTTACCTTAAAAAGTGTTCCAACCTGAGAGGTGCTCTCATTGTGACCACACCTCAAGAAGCGGCTCTTCTAGATGTTCGTAAGCAGATTGATTTCACACGGAAAGTTGGCCTACCGATCATCGGACTCATTGAGAATATGTCACATTTTGTTTGCTCTTCATGTTCAAAGGAATCTTTTATCTTCAAGCCAACATCGGGTGGAGTTAAATCATTAACAGAATCAACTAACATTCAACTTCTCACTTCAATTCCAATTGATCCGATTATTGGAAAATCCATTGACCTGGGAATCGCTTGTTGGGATGAGAATAATAAATCACCCGCAGTCAATGCCTATCGAACTCTAAGCAGAAAAATAATCAACATGTTCCCGGTTTAGAAAATTGATTTAGTTTCGTTTTCTTTTACTATTACAATAAGAGAGTGCAAATAGTTACAAATAATGGTCAATAAATATTCACATTGGCTTTTTGATTAACCTTTTTTCTTTTTACGTTTTTGCAACAATTTAAACCTTTTCGAATTGGGTGTTTGTCGCAAAATTTGATTCGATATTTACACGAATAATTTAATTATCAAGTGTTAGCTTTTTTTATGTGTAAAAAAGGAGGAAAGTTGACCATTTCTCGTTTTACTAATCATCGTCACTTGAAGCATATTTATCGTAGATATTTCTTGTGGACTTTTGTCCCTTTTTCCAATTGAGAAGAAAATCCGTCATCGACTTATCGTCCAGGCCACTTTGTTTTTCCAATCCTTCAAGATCGTTCATTAGTTGTTCCCTTTGTTCTCTGATATTTTTCAATTCCTCTTCATCTTGAACAATTGCTCGATTCATTTGATTAATTGCCTCACAAATATCATCAGACAATTGTTTAATAGCATCTTCGGTTGCTTTAGAACTGGGAGTTCTTGGAAGATAATAGGGAATGGATGAAGAAATTGAGCTTTTATAACTGGTTGATGGTAAATCTAATTTAGTCATTAAATCGTTGAGCTGATTGTTTGGCTGATGATCTCGATTTGTAGAGCCAATCGAAAAACCAACACCTTTACGAATTTGTTCCTTCTCCCAAAGGTCAATTTCATCTTCAGAATCATCACTATCATCGATATCTCGATTTCTATTATTATATGTATCTTTATCCTCTTCTTGAGCTTGAATGAAAGCTTCTTTAGTTCTCTCTCTTTCAATTGCTTCTCTATCAACAGCGAAATCAATCCTATCATCTTCATCTTCATCGTCATCGTCATTATCACCTTCCTCTTCGTAAACTGGTTGCTCATCATCCATATGACCCAAGGCAATTCTTTCCGCTGCTGTCTCTTCTTCCACCGAGATGAAATCTTCGATTGTATTATCAATCTTCATCTTCTTACGATCTTCCTCACGCTTTTTTCTAGCATCATAAATTTCTTTGGCAGAAGGAAATTGTCCCTCTCTCATTGGTTTGAATTGATGACTTGAAATCTCCTTAAAATGAATATTTTTCCTGTAATTTTAGATGAAATAGAATCAAGATTAACTTTACTTTCAGGGTGTTTTCTTTTGTAAAAAAGGAAGAAGATACTTACTCTTTGGGTGTTGGTGGAAGATCTGAGGTTTCAATCTCTGATTTTTCATCTTCTTTGCTTCTTTGATTAAAAGAGAAAAATGGTTCACTATTTGATAGTTTATCGGATCTTTTGGTTTCCTCTAATTTCTCCTCTTTTTCTTTTCTCTTTTTTTCTCTTTTCATCTGTTTGGCAATTCGTCTACTATAAGCTGACTTCTTAACCTGGAATACATCAGCATCCTCTTCATCATCACCAAAGCTCAATTTTAATTTCACCTTTGCTTCAAATTTTTTCTCTCCCGCAGCAGATTGAGATGAAGGTTTAAGAACAGAAGAAGATGCAGGCTCATCAGGTAAGACAGCAATTCCACCGGTACCACCATCATCACGTACTCTTTGAAATTCACCAGTATTTTGAGATTGTTTTAAAATGTCAATTTTTTCATCAACCGGCTTAACATTAGTTATCGTCCTACTCTCATCATCTTCATCCGAGTCATTTCGGGTAACTCGAACATTAATTTTACTTTTGGGTTTTTTAAAAAGTGACATCAGTCTGAAAGGTAATACTGATCTTAAAGAGTATAAAAAAAAGGCGAGTAACACACAATATTAAATAAAAAGAAAAATCAAAGAAGAAGATGAAATCAATTAATAAAAATAATGAAAAAAGGATAAAAAAAAATATTCTCAACCAATCAAGTCAAGTATAAACATTGATTCTTTCAAGAATGACAGCAATTCATGATGGTCACAAACATCGATAGGTGAATATAGTTAGTTAACGGTCTCAGGGTAATTAATTAGCGTAAAAATTGAGTCCACAATCAGTAGTAATTAAGCAAATTAGTTTAAGGCCGAAAAAAATAAAAACAATGTTACATTTAAATTCAGTTCTTGTTGCTAAGCAACCAAAGTGTTTACATCGAGAGAAACGCCATCTATTTATTTTGGTGGAAAATAAAAAGTTCAGGAAAATACAAAAGAAGAAAAATTTTGAGTATGTTGGATTTTGACAAACGTGGAAAAGAATTAAAATTTAAAAGTTAATAATTTGAATCGATTGTAACATGAAAACATTTCCTTCTCATTCGGGAACATTCCTGGGAACAGTCACATTTCCTCCAACAGAACTTGGGGCAAGTGTTTTCTTTTTTCGTCAAGTCGAAATTAAAAGCACAAGAAAGTTTCGTTCGTTTCGCCTTTTTGTACCATGGCCTTCGTTTCCTGGCCCGTTTTCTTACTCGTTTCCGAACGATATTCATGGAGTTGACCTGAACCGGCTGGACACTCGTTGATTTATTTTCTTCTATTTGTTTACATGGTTCAATCGCTTCGATCCATTGGCCATAAGATGTCACTTTTTCAATCTGATTGTTATTCTCACCTTGACCAACTAAATTGACTTGATTAACTAAACCAACTGAATCAGTTGAATCAATAGAATCAAAGTTCATGAAAAAATTATCCTCAACATTATCAGGAACCAATGCCAATTGTTTATCCGTTGATTGGTTATAAGATATTGGTGGTGATATCGAGGATGATGAAGAGTATTTTAATTGTTTGTTTCCATTATTATTAAAACTCTCGGTGATTAATGGTAACTGGAGTAATTCTAATTGTTCAATCAAGTTTAAAGCATAACAATCATCAGCCATTGATGATCCATTGTAAATTAAATCATATAATGATTTTAATCCGTCACAATTGAAACTTTGTAATCTCATCTGTTCACAACCATTAACAAAATCACCACAAAATTTATTCAAATAATCAAATTTAGGTGAAACATTTTGTAAAATAATTTTATGAAAATATAAACTATTTCCTTGACAATCAATTAAAAGATAATCTTTCTCACAATTAAGTCTCTTAATTTCATCAATTAAAATTTCTACAACTCGAGGCACAGCTAATTTAATAGCAACTTTCATAGACATTGTGACAATTAACTTGACCTGGAATCAACTGATTAACAATTAACTTCCCTTTGACAGTCAACCCATATTTAAGGTTACTAATGATAATCATCTTAACGGTAAACAACACTTGATTGTTAAAGTGGAAGAAGATTAAAACAATTAATAAACTAACAAAAATTTACAATTTACTTGAAAAAAGTACAATTAAAATACAACAATCTAATTGATGACTGGCGTTAAATCAATCAATTTAAGTTCAGTGTGATCAATATCAAGTAATGCAAATAATTACCAAGATGATAATTGCTAATTACGATATGAAAATCAACAATTGTTTGGTTAATTTACCTTCACCCCCTTGATCAACAATCAAAGTGTATCATTAACTTTAGATTGTTGATTAAATTGTTATAAGTTGAACATAAATTGTAGAGTTAAGAAAAAAAAAGACAATCAAATTGGTCAATCGGTAACGAAAGTAAATCGATCGATTCAATTAACTTAACAACAATCAATATTCAATTCACTCGTTACCCGGTAACCATTTGGATCGATGAAATTTAGTTAAATCATAACAAATCAATCACAATTATAATTATGAGCTTATGGTCATTTCAATTTGTAATCAAAGTTAAATCTCAAATGTTGATTTGTCTTTGATAATTTGTTAATTGTTTGTCTTAACAAAAAACGAGCTTATTTAAATAGCAATGCTTGTGATTAACTGATTAATTGGTAAAGTGTTTAGCTATTATTGTGGACAATTAATCTAACAATGTAAGTTAATCTTTCTTGTTATTTTGATACATTTATTTTGTTCTTGATCTTAATTGTTTGCTTAATCTACTATTGAAAAAGGTATTCAAATGAGGAAGCAGTAGTTAATGATGACGATTGTGTTGACAATCAATCAATTGTTGATTCTAATCAATCAAGTGTTGAAGTGGACTCAACATCAGCATCACCATCAACAGCAACAATTAATCAGCCCTCAGGCTATAATTGTTCAGAAACCAGTGAGGTTGCCAAAAAAGAGGCTAATCTATTGGCTAATCTAATCGGACGAAGTGGATTAACTGATTGTGATGTTGATTGTCAATCTAAAGATAACAATAACAACTTAAGTACTTTTGATATGTGGATGGACATGGATGAGATTGATTTAGAAGTAGAGAATCAGGATAATTCAATTAAATCAGTTCAATCATCATCAAAAGAGACAATTAAATCGACTAATCAGTCAAATCAAATTGATATTGATGCTAATTGTTCATCTAATCATTTGGATAAAGTGAAACATGAAATGAATATTAATTTACGAGATGAATGTGCGCAAATCAACAATTCAATTAACTCAGGAGATGATTTATTATCACTGGTTGATTCTTAATTATTAACAATTAACTAAATTGTGATCAACTTTCAACTCTGCAACTTTTGTTTACTTAATAATTGTAATCAAAATCTTCTAATTGGTTACCTAATATATTTTGCTTATTACTGTCAATGAATTGTGAATGTTAATTGTTTCATGGCTGGTGTTTAATTCAAATTTGGTGAAATAAATGAATTCTCATTGACAAATTTTCATTGTGAGAAATTGAATTGTAATTAAATTATTAATGAGTTGACAATTATTACAACATAATTGAATTAGAAAGAGAGATAGAGAGAGAAAAGTCAAAAACATAAAGCAAAAGGTTGAAACATTGAAGGTGGGAAGTGACAAAATAAACATTTACGGCTTGGTTTCAAATAATCAAATTAAATTGTGATTTAATTTGCAACCTCGAGGTGAAAGTTGAAGGTTTTGTCGGAATGACCTTGAAAAAGAAATGAAATCAAGAGAAAGATGTAACTGTTGATTGTAATCAAGTGTTAGTGTTAATCATAGAAATGAATGGTGATTGGTTTCGTTTTGGTTTTTCCTTTTTTTCTCTCATTTCCTTTTCCTATCCACCAGAATCAAAGATGATAATTATGTTAATTAAGATGATGATGAAGGCAAAATGATGATGAGTTTATGGTAAAACTAAAGGCAAAAATGATGTGAATCAAAAATTGAAGATGCAGGAGAGATGAGCAAAACCAGCGAGAATACATTTTACAGTTTAATCTCATCATTAATTGGAGTTAATGATAATTGTTGAAGTTAACAAGATTGTTGATTGACTAGACAGGTTTGTCCGAGCGAGTTAATTATAAATCTGGGAAAGTGAAATATTAGTTTATCGCCAATTGCAATTAGCGGGAAATATTGATCCGCATTTTCTTGGTGTCTTAATTCAGCGTTTCTATCTTCGTTTTTGTTAATTGTTTCTCCTTTTTGATACAATTTGAAATAATTGTAACACTAATTTTTGATTTATGATGATGAAGGTGGGTGATGATTTCTTTAAATATGAATGAATAACAATAAATGGGAATAATTTCAACATTGTTTTCAATTCTCCAAGTGATTAATCTAATCATTATTAAACTGGTGATAAATTTTGGTTTCTTGAATTTGTCAATTTGCTGATTGTTCCTGTTGATTTTTTTGTGTTAAACTGTTGCAATGGGACAGTTAATATGAAGTAAAACATATTCAGAAAATCAACTAATTTTGACAATTAACTGAATTCAATTGGAGGGGTAGTTGTGTTTCTGTGCGTTCCAGGTGAAGGTTAAATTGTTGCAAGTTTATCTGGAAGTACTTGATTGAATGAAATAAAATTTACGGGATTTTATCCGGATAACAATCAGTTAGTAATCAAATTGTAAAATCAAAAAATAATAATAACCATTGATCACAATTAACTATGTGTTTAGTTGGGATTATGTTGTTGCTTGGATAAAGTTTGATGTGTTTAGATCATCACCTTTTAGAAGATGTTTGAATTTCAAGCCAGAAAAGCGATGAATATTGCAGATTAATCTGTTCCATCAAAATTATCGCAATTATGATTCGCTTTTTGTTGAGCATAATCAGGAAACAATGACAACTGATAATTATTAAAATTGGACGAATACGAAAGAGAGTTTGTTTAAAAATGGTAACTAAAACATGGAAAATCCAATGAATGTGGCATTTGTTTTGGTTTTTCAGTAATTAAAAGAATCTGGAACTGATTTTTTAACGTTAATGATGGAAAATGAAGATAACAATTAGATGAATTGATGAAATTTTTGAGTATATGAACGTTGCTATGTTGCCTTTTCGACCGGGTGATTGATTAATTTCCTAGATTAAATCCAAAGGTTTTCAATTGGATAACAGTTGAACAAAACTAGTTGGAAAAACGCCTTTTCTATCGGGGTCACCTTCGACTACTCCTTCCATCCAGTCATCATCATCAGTCTTTTCACTTAAAATTAAAATTATTTCACCTTCTTTGAATGTTAATTCATCATCTCTTTCAGCTTCACAATCATAAAGTGCTTGACATCTACGAATGCGACCTGTTGCAATGTCAGTTCGTTGCTATTGATTGAATTTCAACAAAAATAAAAAATAGAGATTATAAGAAAGTTGGACTAAGTATTTAAATCGTAATTGTAAAAAATCAGATTGGTACCTTTCTTGGAGGTGGTACAGGTAAACTACGTGCAACTAGTTCAGAATCAATTGTTGTCACTGTTGGTTGTATTGATGGTGGTGATATCGAAGTTAGTTTTTCAATTGATTGGCCATTGCTTAATCTACGATTTGATTGTTTGGATGTTTGAATTGGTGTTGTACCAGTTTTTACCGACAATTTACTCTCTAAATCTCTTAAATTACCCGACGAACCTGAAGAAAGTTGAGAAAAAATAGATAAAATTAGCAAGTGTGTACATGGAAACACTAAAGAAAATGTTAATTAATTACCATAGAGGTAACCGTGGTGAGGTGATCTAATCGACGGAGGACCAATGGTTGTTGATCGATTTAAAGCTTGT